AGTTTCTTCCAGGTTTAAATATTAGAAACCGGCGCCAAGGTGCACATACTCTCATTAGGGTTTTAGGTTAGATTCATTGTTAGTTACATATAAGAAATTTACTAGTTTACAAGAGTTAGCTTTGCTTAATTAGTTATTTCTTATGGGAAACTTGTATTTGGTATAGTTTACTTCTTTTTCCCCCCCGGTCTATTGCTGATACCTCAACGTGGTGATCGGGTGAACGAATTTTTTCAAAATTCGGCCAAGATCAGCTTTAAACAAATATAATAAAATTATAAACCTTTTTTTTTGGCTTGCAAAATTTTAGTTAAGTTTATTCTATATTAAATATTGGCTGTCTCTTATATAAAAAGTAATTTGTTAATTGCAAAATAACTTTGACGACAAACTCAACTACTATTTTCACTTAGTGGACTACTACGAATTTAATTTGACTATGATAATAAATTTTTTTTTTGGAGAATTTAAAAGTTTATTCGAAATAATTTAATTTAAAAATTTAAAATGTTAGTCTATAACATGTTACAGTAATTATGTTACGAAAAACTAAACTAAAATAGTCATAGCAGAATGTAATGCCCGATTTTTCAATGCGAAGATCGTGCCTTACTTACTGCAAACCCATGGGAAGAATCTTTACCATAAATCCAATAAATCGGGATTAAATATGATTGTAGATACTATAAATAAATCTATATAAAATCAAAAATGTGTTACTTTTTGTATATGCAATACTAATAAAAATACATAGAACACCTACCAAAAAAAGTATTTTTTTTTTCTTAATCTATCCCTCGCATGGATAATTCCATTATTACAATTATAATTATACCTATTGTATAAACTGAAATTAAATAATATCCCCAAGCGCGGGACGTACGGTATTCGTTTCGAGGCAAGTATATGAGAGCAGAAGATAATGTTATCGATAAACTAACTAATGATACAAACAATGTTTGTTCAACACTAATTTTGCAAGGAACCCCAGTTTTGGTTGTCACATAAGTACCACTCAAGCCAATGCCTAAAAGAATATCTACATAATGAACCGTATGAATAAATGTAAAAAAAATGTTAAATCAAAAAAATTATATAAATGAAACATACTTAACATTGGACCACCAAAGCATGCACTTATGACCATCATAGGGCGCCCCGGTTTTTGCAATAGTAATATTTTGCCCTTTAAAATAAAAATATATTAATTAATTATGTAAAATGGTTTGGCATAATCTACAATTATTTTGGTGATTATTTCAACCATACCATCGCAAATATCGTTAGGCCAAGAATTGCATCAATTAGTCCCATAATTAAGCCTAAAGCCTAGGTCAAAAAATATAGAATCAAGTCATTGTACTTAGGTTTATATGTTATTTTATGACGCAGCGCCTACCTGTAACACATCAACAACTTCGTTAGCTATGAGATAAATTCATA